TCCCCCAGGGGCCACTTGACCAGGTCTGGAGACATTTTTGGTTGCCACTCTTAGGGTCGGGGAGCCCCTGAGGACTGGTGAACATCCTCCCATCCCCAGGAGAGCTCCCACACACAGACTTATTATCCCAACCACATTTCAACAGTGCCAGCATTGAGCAACCTTGGACTTGATGCTGCCAACACCAGGAGCCCCAGTCGAGGGTGCCTGCCAGGCTCCTGCAGGCAGAATGTGCATTCAAGCTTTGGGGCTGGGGTTTTTCTAGCCTCAATCTGTGGTCATTGATCTAGAGAGAAGTGGTGGATCAGATGTCCCTTCTGATGCGAGCCCTCAGGTCCACCTGAATCGTGGGTGGTGGTGTCGCTGAATCCTCAGAGACCAGGTGAGTCCACCCGCAGGTTATGTACTCAAGATGAAACTGACCCAGCTCTCCAGGAGCCAGCAGGGCTGGGGATGCTTCCTTTATTGCAAGCTCCTCCCGGAGGTTCAAGTGCAGACCCACTGGGTCCATGCAGATAGACCCAGGAAAGAGCCCCCCATACACGCTCCCCGACATGCTGCCTTCGGGGCGATTGCCACTCACAGTGACCGTGTAGAGGGTTTCCAGGACGGTAGGTCTGTACAGCAGCGAGCCGAGCCACCTTTCTCCTGCAGAGCAGCTGGTGGGGGTGTTGGACCCCAACGCCTATCCGATGACCCCAAAGCCCTCTTAGGAGGCTGGCGTTAGCAGCGGAAGCCAGCACAGGCCTCATTGATAGCCCCCTCTCCCAGGGAAAGAATCCCACCGGGCACAGGCAGAACCAGCTCAGCAGCAACACGGTCTTTTGTGAGTGAGTGGTTCTCGCTTGGGGAGACCCCCTGAGTAACAGGTAGAACTGAGTTCCTGAGGTCCTCCTGGCTCATTCTTCAGAAGCAGGTCACGAGGTCCCCTCTGCCCCCTCTTCCCCGAGGTCCTTCTGGGTTGTCCACCCTTTGAATGAACAGCCAGGTGTGTGAACCATGTGTATCAGCCAAGGAGACCGAGGCAGCCTCAGGGGAATTTAAAGGTATTGTTCAGAGTCGACTCCCCTAACTGACTGCCACAAGAACAGACTGATCTCTCTTGGAAGGGTTCCAGCCAGAATGCCCCCTAGAAGCCAGGATGGCAAGACACGGTCTCTCACCTAC